TGTGTGTGTGTGTGTGTGTGCGTGTATGTGTGTCTGTGTGTGTGCATTTTCTTTTCTTTCTCCCTTACTCCGCCGGGTCGCTCATGCAGCTCTGGACAAGCTCAGCACCCAGCATCTCTACCACCCGACCCAGGTGGAGATCGTTCAGTCCAATGTAGTGTTTGACATCAGTAGCCTGATGCTGTACGGCACCCAGGCGGTACCCGTCAGGCTCAAGATCCTTCTCGACCGCCTTTTCTCCGTGCTCAAGCAGGAGGAGGTGCTGCACATCCTGCATGGCTTGGGCTGGACCCTCCGAGACTACGTCAGGGGCTACATACTGCAGGTCAGTGACCGGCTTATATGCTATAGTGCCACACACAAAGCATTCATATGGATTTAGTGTAAAGTCCAGATACTATATATTAGTATTTACTCTCCTCGTACACACCGATTTGTCCTTGCAAAAGGTTTCTATTTGCCTACAATTTTCCATAATGTTTTTAAAGTGGCTCTTATCATCCGTGGTGATCATTACCATCAGTTCCAAATCTGTCTAAGATTTTTCCTGACATTGCAGTTATTTTCAATTTTAGTGAACAAAAGCACAGCTTTGACAATCTCGGCCACTTCAGTCCCATTGTCCATCCATTTTCTTCCCATTTTCCCTGCTGTTACCTTCTACTTCAGTGTGCCCCCTTTTTCCTGCTCTGTCAACACTATGCCCCTCTTCTGGAAAAATGGAAGGGATTTTTTTTAGGGAGGCAAAAAGAAAAAGAAAATAAAATGTAGAGAAAAATGTCACGCCATCAAGCTATAAAACCGCTGTAGCACGTTTCCTCTCTCTATCCATCCCTCCCTTCACCCTCCCCTCCCAGATAATTGCAGTCAGACACATTTCTCAATCAAAGGTACAGAGGTTTTGGTGTTGAAACCCAAACCAAAGTGTTCCTGAATGAATTAGTTAAGAGCAAGTGAACATGTGCATGTGGTTAGCTGTGTGTCTGTGTGTGCGTATGTGTGCACATGCATATATGGTTTGGTCTTCCAAGAGTGTAAGTGGAACAGCATGATCAGGACAAAGTGGTTTGTATGTGGAAACAGCCTCTGTGTGTAACGAGCTCACCAGTTCAGTTAGTTTCTTTAGGACACACACAAATACACATGCAAAAAATAACAATCCGGCAGTCTTACGATACTCCCAATCTGTACGTTACAGGAAGGACGTACAGCCTGGCAATATTATGATAATAAAATAAAACTAAATCTAATAGAATGATTTTGATTTTTTTTAAACTAAAAAAACATGTTTATTGACTGTCATATTTAATACAAAATAAACACCAGCGCCTGTACTAGTTATTATTAAGTCAGTTTTCATTTATATTGAGAATTGACCCTATTAAATAATATAAACAAGCATCAAAGTGCCACATTTGAGAAGCTAAAAAAAACCCTAGATTTTTGAGATTTTTGCTCCATTGAATAACAGCAATTAAGTGATTTGTTTTTTGCGGCTGCGTCAGCTTGAAAATCCCCTCGCGCCTTTTCATCGTTCTAACCCGACGTTTTCCCTGAGAAACCTGACTCAATGCGTTAAGTCTGCAGTGTGAGAAAGCCTTGCATTGAGCAACCACTGGAGCGCTGGTGCTTCCCATAGTTGTAGCCTCTGTGTTTTTATCAGCTGGTTCTAATAGTCAGCTGGTGGGAGCACTGTTGCTCAACTGCTCAGCCTCATGTCACGCTACTGACTAAATCCTCTAGATCTCCTCGGAAGGGCTTCAAAGGGGCCGCGGCCACAGAGAAGCAGCCAGTCACTTAAGGACAGTAAGTAGTCATTGTACGGCCCTATTAGCCTGTAAGTAGCTATGAAATTCAATCATCTTCACCGAGCCTCCGGGCGACGCCTTATGTCAGGGGCGTGTTTCCCACCGCTGCATCGCACTAAATGAGAGATAAAAATGAGACGAACTTTATTGCAGATGATAGATAATAAGTTGTCTTTTTTTTATACTCGTGTCAGGGGACATTATTCGATGATAAATTACTTTAGCGTAATCCTGGCAGTCTGGCTTTCAAAGGGTTGCTTGTACTGATGTAGGATTTGAACGAAGGTGCTGAGGCCACAGGAGTAACGGAATTAATTTTTATTTCAATAAGATATGATATAAATTACTACCATTACCAAGAAGATGCGTGCATGATTTCGGAACTAGTATGATGTAACGAAGCCTCTCGTCAACGCACATTTTACAGCATGTTTGAAGGTCGTCAGCAGTGGACTGCTTTTATTTAAACTTGCTTATTCTGCCTTTATTATTTCCAGTAGGAACTGACGATTGTCCCAGTAGGTTGAGTATGATCACAGCGAGCGAGCCAAACACCTACATACCTTACGCACAGTATACATTGATGTACAAAAATAAACATCAGCAATCATTCATGTGTTGTTCATTCATATCAGAAGCATCGGTGGATGCTTCTGCATAAGAATGTTTGGGTTAACTACCGTGATTACAGCCTCTCAAATCAAGACTTGATTACCCTGCAGGGCAGACTCGTCTACTTTACAGTAAAGGAATATTATAAATAGCGTTTTATTTCAACTTAACTGTATAAATAAACCTTAACGTCTCAGGCATTCAGTTCATTTAAACTCTATATTTTACCCATGATAAAAACTCAGCAACTTATCAAATGGTGTTTCTTTCTTTCTTTCTTTCTTTCTTTCTTTCTTTCTTTCTTTCTTTCTTTCTTTCTTTCTTTCTTTCTTTCTTTCTTTCTTTCTTTCTTTCTTTCTTT